CCCCAGCCACATTTGAGGTACAGTGTATTTTGCAGACATTATTTTAGTAATTCTGCATAAATGCTTTAAGACTGTATAGATGGTACCAGTACACACAACGTAGATATATTTTGTTTTAAAATGAATAATATTTTAATAATATAATATTTTATTCTTAGATGTCAGGACGTGCTGGAAGACGGGGATATGATATGATTGGAAATGTGTTCTTCTACGACATCCCAATGCCCAAAGTTGAAAGACTTATCAAATCCAACGTACCTGAGTTGAGAGGCCAGTTTCCTCTGACTATTTCCTTAATATTGAGACTGATGCTGTTGGCTGCAAAGGCTGATGACAAAGAAGATGCCAAAGCAAAGGTTTAATGTTTTTTGTCTTAATAGTAATTTAATTAAATGTCTCCTTAACTTGAGCAGAAAGTTATGTACTTCAGAAGTAAGCAATCTGCCTCCAAATGAAGTTGCATACTCTGTGATTCTGCTTCTAGTGCCTGTGCCATCTTCTCCACAGTATTGTACTGTCCATTTTTAAGCATTTATTCTTTGCAATAGATATTATCATGGTATCATCAGAAAGAATGCTACTGTTAGGAAGGTATTTTTACTGACTCTTGTTCTATGCAACAGTTGCATTAACTTGGAGAATCAGAAAGTCTTCCAATACTTAAAATTTCAGCTTTATTTGAGGAAAAAATGTGAACATACATTTCCATAGGGAAAAGGGGAGCTATAAAATGCTATCTCAGTTGAAACAATGAGAAAATTTGACGTGTTACTCACTTGCTTATATCTAACTCACTTGTTACTAACTCTTGGGAATCAAATAATTCTTATTCTTGCCTTTTTAATGCAGTGATATAAGTAAGCAACCCATGACCATGATTGCAAATCGGTCAGAGATCTCCTCTTGTAATTATTAAGGAATTCCTACTTTTAGATGATCTGGTTTTTACATCCACTTTAGCATATAAACATTTATTTTCAAGGACTCACTGAATGAATGCAGATGTAAGTCTTCTTAAGATAACAAAGTAAATTGGTAAGCTACTGTGCTTAAAATATTGAAGTGTAAGGAGTAATTACAAAACTTCCTGGATTTAGTTTAACAATGTTTTAATCCTCATGTTTTAGATCTCTCTATGAATTCCATGTAAGTAACTTTACAAACCCTAGTGTAAAGGTAGGAAATGAGCACATGTTTGACCAAGGATGGACCTTTTTCACAAGCATTTCCAGGAGATAGGCATTCAATTTACATAAAAATACAGCATAATCCTACCCAGCATTTTTACCCTGAAAAACAAGTATTGAAGCAAAACATAAAAGCTGGATGTTATATTTCTTTGCTTGTTACAGTATCAGCATTTCCTTGGATTTCTAAAGTATCTTTTTCTGTTTGTTTGACCAGGCATTGTCAGTGTTGAAGCACTCACTGATGTCGTTCAGAAAAGAAAGATATGCTCAAATACTAAAAATTTACTTTATGTTTTCCTTGCAATTTCTGATCAAAGAGGTAGGTTTTAATTCTTTCTCATAAAGGAGAGCTCTTAAATCTACAGGTTCTTATTTGTTTGTGTTAGTATGCTTTTATTTGACCCATATATTTTATATTTCGTAATAATAGGCTACTTCTGTTAGAAATTTAGGAAAACAGATAAAATTAGAGCACTCTAAGTTTAAAGTTAATTCTGAGCTATTTATGGAATAAACTCAACAGGAAAAGTCTTGTAGTATGGTCTATATCGTTACAGATTGATCAGGCAAGTAAGACCTGTGTGTTTCTGTTGTATATGAAGATGTGTCCATGTGAAATGGCAGGGGTTTAAAACATACTAAGGATGACACATTGAGAGAAATTATACCTGTAACAAAAATATAGAGACGACTGAAAATTACTAGTGTATCTCTCCATGATACTTCCATTTTAGATGGATACCATTTTAGATGGATCCCACTATAGGCAAGAGGGACATGCTGGTGACTTGTTTTTTAGGAAAGACAAATTTTTGCCTTTCAGTGGAAACGGAATGTTCTCAGTGGGGTACCCATGCGTTAGGTTGAAGGACTATTCTTCTGAATGCCATCATTTTATATTTCTGTCATACCCATGTTCATCCTTCACAACTAAGTGTGTTTTGCTTTTAAATTAAATAGGGCTACTTGGATCAAAAAGGTAAACCCATGGGATTTGCTGGACTTGTGACACACTTGCACTATCATGAACCTTCAAATTTCGTTTTAGTGAGCTTTCTTGTGAAAGGGTTGTTCCACAAATTGTGCCAACCAATTAAAGGTAAATAATACTCTGTGCATTTTAATTGTAGTCTGTGGTGGGCTCTGTAACCCCAGTGGTTCTGAAATTTTCTAGTGCCTTATTGCTCCTGCCACCTTTTGCTTGCCTAGCCTTCGTCCTCATATCCTTGGCCTCTGTCTCTACACACTCGGCACATGCTTATACTTCTCGTATATATGGCAATGTTGGTATCATGAACCTAAATATATTGTTTGTGAAACATTCCAATGGAATAAAAAGGAATGCTGTACATAGAAAAATCAATAATTCTGACTCCAGAGCAATATTTGAATGTCATGTAGACAATAAGGTGGATGACTACTCCGAATATCAACAGATTAAAAAAAATTAAGTACTACTAATGTCTCATTACACAAGTCAAATCCATTCTGTGCACTGAGATATGCTGCAGGATATGAACATGTAAGAACACAGTATTTATTTGTACATAATATTAGTTGCTTAATTATCTACCAGAGTTTTTTGTATGTAGTGAGTTGATCTTTGGCCAACATATAACCTCTGTCATGACAGTGGCAGCTGGGAAGAAAACTCCTGAACAGGAGTCACTGGGTTTTGTTTTGTTTTGTTTTCCTTATTTTTTTTTGTCTTTCACACTTCCATATTTAACCCAAGAACTCTCTGTTTCAACATAGGCTCAACTGTTTTTTCAGAAGGTGTCCTGGAAAAGCTAGTGCTCATTCTAGCCAACCTCTTTGGGAGAAAATATCTTCCAGCCTGCTCAGTGAAATACAAACGCACATTCTGCCAGTCAAAGGTAGATGAAGCTTTGGTCTTTAACTTACGTTGTGTACCCCTTCAAAGCGTTTGTTTCCTTTTGTCAGACTAGTGCCACTGTGGATGTACAGTAGCCTGGAGCGCCAGCAGGTAGATGCCTGCTCAGCCACTCTCTTAACTCCTCCGTCTCAGCAGGATAAGAGGAGAAAATAGGATGGCAAAGCTCATGGGTTGAGACAAAACCGGGGAGATTGCTTACCAGTTATGGTCATGGGCAAACCAGCCTCAATTTGTGGAAAAATTAATTAATTAGTTGCCAATTAAAATGGGGTTTAGTAGCGAGAAACAAAAATTTAAATTTCAGCACCACCTTGCCCCTGCCTTCCGCAGGCTCAACTTTGCTCCTTTGTTCCTGACTCCTTCCCCACCCCTTCCCCAAGCAGTGCGGGGCTGATGGGAAATGGGACATGAGAAATGGGTTGTCGTGGTCAGTTCTTAACTCTCTCTGCTGCCTCTTCCTCCACACGTCACCCTTGCTCCAGTGTGAGTCCTCTCTGTGGGCTGCAGTCTTTCAGAATAAACCTGCTCCAGTGTGGGCTCTCCAGGGGCTGGAAACATCCAGCTGCTCTGGTGTGGAGCCCTTCACAGGCTGCAGTGTGGATACCTGCTTCGGCATGGTCCTCTCCACTGAGATGGCTGCAGGGAAATCTCTGCCCCACTGTGGTCTCTTCTGCAGGCTGCAGGGGAATCTCTGCTTCATCACCTGCAGCACCTCCTCTCCCCGCTTCTCTGGTCTTGGTATTGGCACTGCTGCTTCCCACTCTGCCTGTTGGACATATTTACCCTTTCGTAACGAAGCTTTCCCAGAGGTGCTGCACCTGTGCCTGGTGGGCTCAGCTTTGCCTTGTGCTGGGGCCTTGGATCTGGCTGTGTCTGTCATGGGGCAGCCCTTGGCCTCTTCTCATAGTCGACAGCCATGACTTGTGTCTGTCCCCACCCCCCCAAACACCTCGACATCTACACGCAATACAAGTAGCCAGAATAATGAAGAATGTACTTACTGGATAAAGAAGCCTTTATTTAACCACAGAAGTGAGTGTCAAGTTAAATGCAAAGTACCAGTTTATTCCAGTATGTTTCGGTGATGACAATGATTATACAGTTACTGTCATGTAACAGTATAAATGACACAGTGTTTCTTTATACAATACAACTCGAGTACCTCTTCCCCAAATGGCAATTTACAACTTCCCTTCACTCGGTTAGAATTTTGTCACTTTTGCCTCTGTGTAAGGAGCCTGTAGCTTTGTGAGACCCAAAAGGACACCAGCATGCTCTGTGGCACATGACACTAGGCTTAGGGCTTTTTCCAGAAACGGGACGGTATTAGTAGGATCAGCGTTAGCGACAGTTGTGCACAAGTGAACCCACCATGGGTGCAGGCAGAAAGAGACATGTTTGTCACGTGCTCCTGTTGGCTCTTCTAGGCAAAGCCTGAAAACTTTTGGAGGGCACAGCTACAGCTGAAACCAGGGAAACTTCTTCCGGGTGAAGATGTTTGTGTGGCCAGTTTCCAAAAAGCATTCCGAGAGGAAAAATGTTATTTATTTATGAGAAGGGGCTAGTCATGTAGGAGGGATTACAGGCCTGCTGTGGCTAATGGCAGCCATGTCTGTCATGTTGGCAGTTTTTTGAACACCAAGATAATGCGAAACGAACTGGGAAAGGCAGCCCTTCAAAAATCCCTTTTTAGGGAGCTGAAACACCTTTAATAAAGGAGTTTGGCAAGGACTGTGTGAGTAAAAAAACTAGGAATTTTATACTTAATGCTTGTCTTCATGCCTTTTTCTGCATGAAATTCGTGTTTGTCTTTAGGATCCACTAATTCTAGATGGTCAGGAAGCCTGGCAAGCTGGGTAAAGCTTGGAGCTGTACTCTTTCCTTCTTTCTAGTAATATGGTATGTGTGTACTAATACGTTCTGTATGCACCAATATAGAACTGACACTTCTGGAGAAATAACTTAAATTAAGCAACAAATGGCATGTTATTTCAGGTGTTTCTAGAAGATCTGCCAGAAGACTTTGCAGAGGCTGTAAATGAGTACAACACCAAAGCAGAGGAAAATTTTGCTCATTTTCTTCTGACAACTACCAAGCTGGCAGATATGGAACAAGAATACAGACTTCCACTGTCAAAGACAGGTAGGAAGTGAAAAATCAGTGCATATCCATAATTCATGAAATTGATTGCATTAGGAAATTTAGGTTAATTCTTACTTTGTAAAGAAAAAGAATAGTGATTTCAGACATGCTAATAAAGAGATACAATTTCTATTTCACTTTTGTTTTACAAGCATTATAGATTATTGTACACAGTAGAAGCTTTGTACAGGAAAAGGTTAATTTTAGTTGCTGGTCTTTTGTAGGGGAAATAAAAATCAAATTAACTTTTTTATAAAAGGAAAAATACATTATTGAATAAAATCCTTTTTATCTAATCGTCAACACATTTGCAGATCCTCAAATGCCTGTGCTACTTGAATTGCTTTCAGAGTCTTACAAAGGTTAGATTTTCAACATCTGAACAGCCTTAAGGTTGAAGGAACAACTAAAGACGAACATGGTACCATTTGTTAATTCAACTAAGTTACTTATGCCAATAAATGATGTTCAGTAACCAAAGCAATATGAAGAGGCATGACTAGAAAATTACCATGCAGTATGGATTGCCACTGGCTGAAAAATATCACCTACTAATCCCATGTTAATTTCTGGAAGAGATAAACAAAAGCAATGTAATACACCACTATCCCATTGCTTCGGTCCTCTGAAAATAACAAGCCTTCAAAAAAGTAAGGAAGCACTTTAATTGCAGCAGATAACTATTTATTCATCTTCTTTTTTCCTTTACTGGTACATTGATATTTTTTTTTTTTTCATTCTCTGCTGTGTACAAACGGAAGAGATAGAAAAAAATAAAAGAAAAAGCCCAAATCTCCATACAAGCTACCCTGTCTTGCCATCTACTTTGAGTTTCAAGTATGGTGATAAGTGGGTCATAGAAAGTTTTGTAGTAAAGTGGGTGTCAACTTAATACAAAGGTGAGGCACTGGGGGAAACGAACAGATAAGGTGAATGCAAAACAAGACCGAATACGACCATATGGCTTGAGATGGTAAATAGCAGTTATCCATTTCCAGTACTGACCACTGGAAAGTGCTGCATCATGGTATAACATTAGTAACACTATACTGAAATCCCATTTTTTCATATTCAGTTTAAGTTTGCTTATTTTAACGATGGAGGGTCCCCACACCTTGATTTGTAACCTGAAAAACGTAGGAAATTAAGAGCTGTAAATCACAGAATGATGGAATTCAAATCATGGGCTGCCTAGCATTTTCAGGATATATATTCCTTTATATATGTTAGTGTTATGAATGCTACTTTTGCCCAGGATGTGAGCTATGGAAATTGAATTTCCTATTCTTAAATAGGAAATTCAAGAATAGGAAATTCTAACATGAATGTTAAAGTTTCTTGTTTAAATGGAGATGTAATATGGTTTCATTCTCATTTCATTACAACAAATGTAACTACAGCATAGTTACCATAATACACAGCAGAAGAGGTTGCAGCATAAGGATTGAAAGTATCATTAATAATTTTGAAAGACTAAGTTTCTGTTTAGGAAAGGAAAATCAAAAGTACAAATATATTTAGAAATAACTAGACAGGTCTTCTCTAGACAGTGACTGAAGTTACAGGCTGACCATAAACCAACAGAAATGCCATGGGTGGTAAAACCAGAAATCCATAATGGGTTGCATAAAGCAGAGCAAAATATGTGACAAGCTTCACATACTTAAGTTCTAGCAAGGCCTCAGTTAGAATATTCATTATTTAGAGCTCTACACTTCAAGAAAAATGTTGGCTGGGAGGCCAGAGGCTAGCAATAAAAAAATATTAGATGTCAAGCTCTTAAGACATGTGCATACAGGTTAAAACCCCTAGTTTACTTCAGTGTAGGAGAATAAAAGATGAAGGTAAAATAAGTCTTCTAGAACTAACATTCCCTTTGGTTTTGGCACAACTTTATGCTGTTAGCAATTTTGGCTACAGATGAGTCAAGGAGAAAAGCTTAAATTACAAGGAGGGGATTAAGGCACAAATTCTCACCATTAGAAAGTTCTTATATTCTGTAATCAATTGCGTAGGCATTCTTATGAACAAAAGAAATAAACATCTATCAAGAAGAGTTTAAGTTTAGAAGATTAACTGTGTCCTGTCATTATCTACTGACTGAAAACTTCTGGCTTTTAAAATAGATTGCTGGAAGGGAGCTTAAGTCTGCATAGCTTACACTGTATTTGAAACTTTCTGTCTAGATTTTACACCCAAGAATTGGCGTGGCTCTGAACTAGCATCTTATTTGATGGACACCACCAAACGTGTATCTGCCATCTCACCTTTTGCCTGTGTATCTGGAATGGTGGATAACGATCTATTCCTTGCGGAGAACATTAATAAAGTAAGTTATTTTTTCATGGGGGGCAGAATTTTATTACAGTTCAATAAAAATCATTCTTCATTACAATCTTCTTGCCTCTCTGTACTATGATGATCCCATGCTCAACTGTCACTCTTTAGGAGAGACACTTTGAAAGGTCTCAAAATCAGCACTGAGTAGTAGTACATTATCACAGCACAAAAACACAAACAGATGCATGTAGGAGAAAAATCTGTAGTGGGCTTTCTTGCAATGCCTCTGTTCCTTTCCACTCCAAGACAAGTAAAGTAATACTATATCAGCATGTTTATTGTTAGCTTGCATTTTCCTATGGTCGTCTATATGGGCTTTGTAGCACTGGGGAATTATTGCAACTTTTAATTCTGTTATAGAAAAAATGAAATTCCTACAACTGGGGATTTGAAATTTGCCTTCATCCTTAAAATGTTCCACGCTTAAGGTTGATTAATATATTCAAAGCTTCAGTGGGAGAATCTAAACACATTATCTACACATGGAAACATCGTCATCTAAAACCCATGAGAAATCCAGCAGCACAGTAAAACTTAAAATGACTCAGAATGACTCAGAGCTGCACGGGCAGTGCATGTCACTTCACTGACAAACTCGCCCTGTGTCTACAGCTTATGTTCTTGAACAGATTTTTAGTGTTCCAGGATTAGAAGTGTGGAACTTCCCAGCTGTGGGAAGGTACAGGCTTGACAAAATAGGCACATAAACAAAACCAGAGTAGCTATTCAACAGATACGTTTTTGTTTTTCAGGCTGTCTTACGTTCCCTTGGAATTAATGTCACAAACTGCCCCCTTCTTTCTTTGCACAAGTATGATAATCAAGGAAGGAGGCAGCCACTCAATGCATATGCACTGGACTTTTATAAGCATGGATCCTTGATTGCACTGACAACTGATAACTGGTATGTACTACTGTTTTTAATATGGTGAAGTGGCAGTATTGTTTACAATAGGGTACACAAGTACAGTTTTTTGTTTTTAAAGACTTCTTCCTCCACAATTTAGGGATGGAATAGCTGTTAAATCTAGATTGGTTGACAATGAGAATAAAACGTATACTACATGGAAGTCCTATGGCAATGACTGTAAAGTATTAGCCTGGTATTCAACACATTACCGTAAATGGGAGTCTTGACTTCAGTGATGCAAGTTATTTTGACAGGCTCTTTGGAAGTTTTATTTTATCATGGATTTTTCAGTATGAGAGAGATTAGGAAAGTCCCTAAAATGAGGAAGCTCAATGCCGTAGTTTAGAAGGTGGCAACATAGTAGCAGAGAGATGTCAAAAACTATGTCAAATAATGAAGACAGATTAAAAGAAGAATTTGGTGTTAAAAGATACAGGCAAAAGAACGTGAAAGAAATTAAAAACTTCAGTTAGGGAAAATTTGGAGCGTAAGGGATGCAGGAGGATCCCTTTCACTTTTGACTCTCACTAGCCTTCTGTAACCTCGTTCATTAAATCCCTTTCTAAAACTTCTAGCTTGCCGTTCTTAATGAAGCCATTCACATACCTGTTTTGTTCTTCAACCTCAGCTCAAAAAAGCTCAACCTCAAGCTCCCTCTCCCAGCTACTCTGTGAACTATCTTTATTTTGCCTTCATGCTCATAGCCAGTAACTTATATTTATGAGCAATGAAATACCACTTCACTCTGCTCCCTGAAGGTGCTGTTGGGAGCATGTAATATTTTCTGCCTATTTTGTAAACTCTTCACGGCAGACTCTAAGAATGATTACAGTACACATTCCATGCCCTGTCATGGTTACAGTAGCAGAGTTCGACACTAATGCCACATTAGGAAAAGGTGAGGAAATACACGTTGTAGGTTCTTGATTCTATCAAGCTGACCTAGTGGAAGGTTCCCCCCATGGCGAAGGGGTTGGAACTGGATGATCATTAAGGTCCCTTCCAGCCCAAACCATTCTGCGTTTCCATTATTTTCAACACTATACTAAGGAACTCGTATGTCAGTGTACGAGGCCATGGCATATGCTCTCTGCATCCTTACCCAATGAACATAGCAGGGTTTATTAAAGGTGAAACAGTATGTGCATATCCATTCTAATTTTGGGTTTTTCTTTCTTTAGGTTAAATGAAGGAGATGCTTACTATGCACTCAAGGAGTTTTCACTCATCATTAAGTCTATTGGGTATGATAAACTCATGGTTTATAATATACAATAGATATTTAATCTTTAAAGCAACTTAAAGTGAAACAATGTTCTTCTTTTTTTAAACCCCAGAACATCACTGAGTGAGCTGTGTGATGATCCAAATGACAATGTTCTACTGGCATTTCAACAACTGGGCGAAATCTATGAAAAGAAACTGCAGTGTATTACCTGAATAAAAAAAGGGGGTGTGTGTGGGGAAGCAGCAGTACATAATAGCCTTACCACACAGATCAGCTGCCTTTTAAGTTAGGAGGTGACTAGGTTTGAATCATCAAATATGTTTCATAATCAAGTTCTAGTAATATCTAATATTAATCATACAAAGTTTACTTCAGAACATTAACCTTTATACATTGGCATTTTAAATAAACTAAATAATGACTAAATAATTGTTTCTTGTAGGTTAAGAAACAAGGTAATGGCACTTTTTCCCCCCCCCCAGGCAGTGATATATATGTTAAGGTAGCTCTCAGAAGCAAGCTGAACAAATGTCACAGTTCTGACAGCTGGTGAGATTAGCCTCTTGGTAGGACAGCACTGGAAACTTTCAGCACATTTGTGAAGGATGTTCAGCAATTACTTTGGCAATTATAATCAAATAGATTGTTTTAATTATCCTCCACGTTTTCTATGAAGTTCTGAAGTAGTACCTTCATGAATTGTTATAAAAACTTTTAAACCGGTCTGCAGTTTTAGTCTACAAAATCGTAAGTATAAAGAGTTTTATATCAGTACAATGTAGTTTGATTAATAAAATGTTCCAACCATAGCTCGAATTGCTTCATTTTTAACCCATTCTATCCATAAGAGTGAAAAAGATCCAAGAGACTTCTAGCATACTTGTCAAAAAGTTTAGTGAAATACATTTCCTAACTATTCTCTTGGGTTTTGCTTAGAAGAACAGTTTTCTACAGTCTTTTCATATTATTACTGAAAACTCTTCAGCTGAACACTACATTTTGGTCTACTTGTAGTCTGAAAATATATTACATACGTACTAATGTTCACGTAGCCTTGGAGAATTAGGCTTTGACAACAGTCCTCATTGCCATGCACAAATTTATAGTGATGACCAAGACAGTGATGCAAGTTATTCTGTTGATAATGAGTAAAATGTGCATTAAGGACAATTCAGAATCCCATTTCTTCAGAATACCTATGGTATTCAAATGATCACTGATGAAGCCTGTAACCTGAAATCTCTTTAGGCAGCATTAAACTACATGCAAGATGGTACTAGGAGATACTAGGGGGAGGGGGGAAATCTGTACGCAGTCAGGTAGCGCAGCTGAGCTACCATCAACTGACTTCTTCCAGTTTCTCACTGTGTGAAAGAAAATTATGACAGAAATGGATCATAGTGGTAGAAAAAGACTGATGTAACACTGCCTGGAAAATAAAATTTACTCTTAATTATTCTTTACTGTGTGGCAAGTCATGCCATATACAGATACATCTTCCACAACTCTTCCTCAGCTACCTCAAGGTAAAACTGGACGTGTTTATACCTTTCCGTATTCATGTTTCCCAAAATAAATGGAGTAATCTTTTTATATAAGATACAGTTAACTGACCAAGGAATAAAGTTGGAAATTGGTTCTCCTGTGTTCTCCGTTATTTGATCAGTAAGCATGAAATCCTGGATGAAACCCAAACTTACTAGATCTGTCACACTGTACTAATTTTATATGCTGAAGATTGTAATGTCTCTTAAAGCATTAGTAACAGAAGGTTTCAATTTCAATGATGTATATAGAAAGCACCTCACTCCTGTTACAGCTTTTAGTAAGGACTCAATAGTGAAAGATGACCAAGTGATTAAGTCACAGTGACCAAGGAATCAACTTGTGAAAATATCAGAAAATCAGTAATTCTACTCATCTGTTACCTGGGTGGACTATAATTACTGTGACCCATAGTAAATGAAACATCCTACTTACCATTTACATGCCCTGGAAAACGTGAATGCTGAGCTATAAGGCACTTAACTTACAACAACAACTTGCTATGTTTGAAAAGCAGTCCTAAGACTGTACCGAACCCACACACCAACAAATACCAACTGCTCTCAAAACCAGTCTATCATAGCCTATTTCCTTTATGGTAACAGTGTCTTTTCACTAAGAGATGAAGTATTTGCTTTATCAAACTCTCATGAAACACTACTAGTAGAAATGGACAAGATATTGTCTTAAGAAACTCAATAGGGTTTCTGAATAATCCTTACTCATTAGGACTTCTTTTTTTTTGGTCACTGTAGCAGAGAAAAACCATTTTCTACAACCTTCTGGCAACAAGTTTTATAGGTGTCTTATCTGTCTCTCTAAAATTGTTCCTTTGAGTTCAACCTCGATCCATGACACTCTGCCATTATCATGCTCAGCCTTTGTCTTCCGGTGATTTAATGCAATACATTTTAACGCTTCTCTCCTACACATGCAGAACATAAGAACTAGAGAGATAAAAGCAGAGCAACTCTTAGCAGCAAAATTGACATACAGTAAGAGTTAGGAGATGAACATAAAGAACAATACAAGAGAGTTTTCAGCACCTTCCTTACTAGAATGAAGATGAAAAAGGAAGATTAGTAAGTTTTAGAAATTCTAGAAACCATATTTCAGCACGTTTAATAGAGGAATGCACTGCCACAGAAAAACTGAGGCAAAGAACACAAATCAAATTAAAATGAGGCCACATTTCCTAAACCAAGAATAGTATTTCTAAGTGTTCTGTCATAGTAAGTATATTGGTAAGCCTTACAGATTTAAACTTAAGTAATATTTCTCTTATGAAGTTACAAAGATAACGTCTCATTGACAGCGAAAAACTCTGAAGGGATATTAAATGTTAAGATGGTATTTTTGCCCTCATTTTGCATCATATTTCTATGACTAAGAATTCAGTGAGTTCTGGATCATTAATACAGTTTTCCTTTTTTCCCCTATCATTACACAAATTTTAAAAGGAGATTTTTGAGCTACATTCTCCTACCACTTTTACCACAACAGCAAGTTAAGATATTGTCCACTGACTCCCAAGCCATTGCCGAAAGCAAGTGAAAATTACTTGTGATAGTTACTTCTCATAAAGGCAGTGTTTCCAAAGTGTAGCTGACACCCTTCTTCAATGTGTAACAAGATCACTGATGTGGTGCTTCCATTTCAAAAGCATAAGAGAAATCGTTGAGATGTCACTAGGAGCTGGACCTTCAATATACCTTAAATACAGCATTGAAAAAAGACCCCAAAACCGCAGCTAAAGGGAGATACACAAACCAATTTTCGTTAATGCCCTTCAAAATCCTTTAATCTCCCCATGGCTTTCCTCCTTCCCTCCCTCCCAGTGATGTGAATGCTACTGTCTGTGCTCTCATACTAATGCAACCCTAGTGCATGTGCTGCTGTACTGAAACATCAATATCCTGCTCCTCATCATTGAGGCTTCACCGAACCCACTGCCTGGGACACCCCTGTCCTTGTCCCCATTCCCCCCACCCACCCAGGTGGCATTTCTCAGAAAGTCTGAATTCCTAAAGATACAGCACGTACGGCCAGACTTGAGTCTTTAATAACAACTGTCAAATGACAGGTATCCCCCACTTCTTAATGTGTTAAGGAACATTTATTTAATTTCAGCCTATTTAAGTATAGCTATTTTCCATTTCACTCTCTCTTCATTTCTCAGATTTTATTCTACTACATATTTTGTCTTCGGAAACAGAAAAATGCTCTGATTCACCACTGGCATCAGTAGAGACAGATGTTTGACTTAGGTGTTCTGTGTCAGAATCGCTTTCACTTGGCATTCTTCCTGCCTTTTTTACCATGAACACAGAACCTCCTGAAGATGGATCATTACATGCGCCAAGACCAGAGCAAGCTGCATTCTGACATGGTACAGACTCAGGCTTGTCTTCCCTTCTAGGACAGGAACAGTTGTCTTCAGCAACAGTTTCACTTTCTTCCTCTTTTACCTTTGTTTCTGGTTGTGTTGCTGTAGGAAGTTCAGAGGAAGATGCATTCTCATATTTAACAGGAAGTATGACTGAAGACAAAGTCTGACTACAAGAATTACTACCATCAGGAAGTGTCCCTGCACTTTCAGTTTTCTTAGATGAGTTCATAGGAAAGAGGGAACGTTCACAATTTGGTTGACTCTGTCTAGGAGCAGGCTCCGCACACTCTGGAGATACAGGCTTCCCTACATTCAGAGGTGTTTTGTCAGATTTCATCTTCTCTTTTTCAGTACCATTTCCAGGCAGAAGCACAGAGGAAATCAGCGAATCAGAGGTATTTCTGAGAGTATTTCCAAATGAAAACACTGGTGAAGGCAATGGGAAACAGGTATTTTTGAATGAAAATACAAAATTAGCTGGGAGGATGGGAGATTTGGTGACATTCACCCCAGCTGCAGTGTGGGTCTCTGAAGTGCTACAAGCTACAGTTGTGGATTCTGAGGTGTTGACTTTTTGTTCCCCTGAGACAGATGGTTTCTGTGTTCCACATCCTGCAGTTTCCTTTGCAGAAGGTGTTTTTTCTCTCACATTTTTGTCAGATGGCTTCTCAGATTGGCTAAAAAACGGGGATAATGGTAAAACCTTAAACGAATTGCTGACTCCCGATGCTGCAGAACCACCTTTTACTGAATTGCCAAAGGGAAATGGAAAACCTGGCTTCTCACTTTCTGCTGAGCCTAAATCAGGACTGATTGAAGCATCAGAAACTGTGGGTCTGGCTATAGGACCATGTTTTCTAAATTTGCTGTCATCCTGGTTGTTGGTTTTATCTACATGATCACATTTTTCTAGATAAAACTGAGGGAAAACATATTTTGTGTCTTTCTTTTTAAAGGAAAACACGCCTGCATCTTTAGTAAATGTGAGTACCGAGTTGTTACATGCACCGAAAGTAAAAGGTGAAGCAGAAGGTCCCTCTGCAGAAACATCTAGACATTCTGAATTTGAAACAGTAACATCTGCTGATGCTATTAGGTTTGAGCCCAATGCAGTGCTGGAGTTTGTGTCCATTTCTTTGGAAACAGTAACGGCTGATTCCTGCATTGGCAATTTTTCTTTATGTCCTAAGTCTTTAGAATTTTCTAAGGCTGGAGCAGCTGCTTCCTGGGAACTTCTCTCAGGAAATAATTTTAAGTCACTATTTGTTTCAGAAGAGT